GAATAGCTGCTGTACCCCAGGAGCAGAAAAGGCATTAAAAGTCTCCACTGTAAGTGGCAAGTATCAGAGGAGAAAGCTTTAAGTACCGTGCTACGAAGCCAGGCGGTGGTGGCGCACACCTTTAATCCCAGCACTCGGGAGGCAGGGGCAGGCGGATCTCTGTGAGTCTGAGGTCAGCCTGGTCTACACGAGCTAGTTCCAGGACAGGCTCTAAAACTACAGTGAAACTCTGTCTTGAAAAACCAGAAAAACAAAAACAAAAGAAAACTGTACAACGTATATATGCATTGAGTGTCTTATGGTACTCAACAAAGAGTGTAAGTACATCAGTTAAAAATGAGGGCTGGGAGCTGGAGAGATGGCTCAGTTAAGAACACTGGCTGTTCTTCCAGAGGTCCTAAGTTCAATTCCCAGCAACCACATGGTAGCTCACAATCATCTGTAATGAGATCTGGTGCCCTCTTCTGGCCTGCAGGCATACATGCAGGCAGAACACTGTATACAGAACACTGTATACACATAAATAAATAAAAACCTTTAAAAAAAAAAAACTAGGGCTGGGGAGATGGCTCAGCAGTTAAGAGCAACCGGAGTTGGGCATCTGACGCCCTCTTCTGGCCTCCAAGGGCACTACAGGTAAAACCCTATAAATATAAAATAAAAATAAAGAAAAATAGGGGCTGGAGAGATGACTCAGTAATTAAGAGCATTAATACTCTCATTCACAAATCCCACTATCTCCTCCACATGCATATACACATTTAAAAATAAATATTTTTCAAACTGCATAAATTAGGCATGGAAGTACATGCTTGTAAAGCCAGTACTTGAGAAGAAAGGGCAGAATGGTCAAGAGGTCAGATCAAGCCTCAGCTGTGTAGAATTTCATGCCAGCCTGGGCTAGACAAGAACATGTCTCAAAAAAAATTTAAATAAATCTTTATTAATTATGTGTTCAGTGTTCTGTTTGCATGTATGCTTGCACGCCAAAAGAGGGCATCAGATCCCATTACAGATGGCTTTGAGTCACCATGTGGTAGCTGGAAATTGAACTCGGGGTCTCTGGAAGAGCAGCCAGTGTTCTTAATTTCTGAGCCATCTCTCCAGCCCCTAAAAAAATAATAATATTAAAAAATAAGCTATATCTGATGCCACAGGTCTGTAATCCCAGCTGCGAAAGAGAGCAAGGAATGAAGATCCCAAGTTCAAGACCAACCTGAACTAGAATGAGTTCCAGGACCCTGTGCCAAAATTTAAAAAAAAAGACTCAGAAGAATTCTTGCCCTGAATCCAATGAGGGATTCACTGGACGGCAAAGGTAGAGCACTTGCCTACAGTGTGGAGGCCTAGAGAGCCAGTACTGCCAATAAATAAACAAATAAATCCTGACTTAACAAAAACAAGCTACAATTCAAGAGATCATTACATGCCAATAACAACCTCATACATTTCAGAGCTGTGAGAACAAAATAACTCATGATAAGATCTACAAAACATGGGAAATTGGAGGCAGGGGAGGCCATTCAGTGGGTGACGGCACCGGCAAATCTGAGTTCCATACCGGTGTCACAAGGTGGAAAGAGAAGCGACCTCCACACGCTGTCCTCTGACCATCACATGGGCATCAGGGCACATACTCACCAACCTCCAGACACAAAACAAATAAATGTAGTTAAAACATCAGGAGCTCCTGAGTAAATTGAGAGCATGGGGACCTTGTGGGAGGATGAAGGGGAAAGGGGGAGGCAGGGAGGGGAGCAGAGGAAAATGTAGAGCTCAATAAATATCAATACAAAATAAATTTTTTTAAAAAAAAGAAAGAAATTGTGCTACAGAGAGGACTCTGGGAAAGAGAAAGGCGGAGTCGCCAGGCAGACACAGCAGAAGCAGGAAATCGGCATGGGCAATACAGAGTAAAAGTAATAAAGTCATGAAACAGAAGGTAAATGAACAGAAATGGGCTAGTTTAGGTTGTAAGAGCTAGTTAGAAACAAGGCTAAGCTAAGGCTGAATTTTCATAATTAAGTCTCCATGTTGTGATTTGGGAGCTGGCAGGCAGGACAGGTTTTTTTAAAAACATCAGGAGCTGAGGCTGGCGAGGTGGTGGTTAAGAGCACTGGCTGCTCTTTTAGAGGTCCTGAGTTCAGTTCCCAGCAACCAACCACACAGTGGCTCACAACCATTTTTACTGAGATCTGCTGCCCTCTTCTGACCTGCAGGCATACATACAGGCAGACTACTGTATACATAATAAATGATAATTAAAATAAAAACACTAGGAGCTGGGAAGGTGGTTCGGCATATAGTGATCTTGCAGAGAACCTGAGCTCGGTCCCCAGCACCCACACTGGGCAGCTCACAACCTCCTCTAACTCATTTTGGGAAACAGTTTTGCATCCTCTTCTGGTTTATGCAGGCATATACTCACACACAGACACACTGGTTGTTGTTGTTGTTTCCAAGACAGGGTTTTTCTGCATTGCCCTGGCTGTCCTAGAACTTGTTCTGTAGACCAGGTTGGTCTCCAACTCAGAGATCCTCCTGCCTCTGCCTCCCGAGTGCTGGGATTAAAAGCATGAATAACCACTGCCCGGCAACATTAGGTTTTTGTTGTTGTTGTTGTTGTTCTTGTTGATGTTTTATTTAGCTTAAATACATCTTTAAAAACCAAATTTGGGCGTGGGGTAAGTTTAGCTTCACACTGCATGCGCGAAACTCCGATTTCGGAAAGGTTCTCTTACTGTTTTATCGACCGAAGGCTTTCGCTTGGGCTGGAGAGAGCTTAGCAGTCAAGAGCACTGGCTGTTCTTTCCGAGGACCAAGGTTTCCTTCCCAGCACCCAGATGGTGGCTCACAACTGTCCATCACTGCAACTCCAGGTGATCTGCTGCCTTCCTCTGACCACCACAGGTCTCGGGCACACTCATGGTACTTAATGCACATAAAACAATAAGTAAATCTAAAAACATTAAAAAGAAAAGAATTCCCTTTGTCTAGTCAAAGCAGAACCCGCCTGCCCCACACGTCAGAAAAGGGCCTTTGCTGGACATTTTTCATAACTACACATGACCGCTATTTAAAAAAATAGAGATACACTGGATGTCTTGGCTCAAATCTGTAAAACCCAAAACTCCATATGCTGAGACAGGAGAATGGTGGTGACTGTTAGTATTCAGGCATCTGCACTGGCCTGCTCTTGGGGTCCTGACAGGATATGTCCTCAGCTGCTCCACTAAGAACAGCTCCTGCGCGCATTCGCTAGGTTCCCTTATAAAAGGTGGGCCTTGCCTGCCTCCCATCTTTCTCGCCTGCTACTCTTGTCCCTTTTTGTCCCCTTCTCTCTTCTCTTCCAATAAACCTCCCATTTGAGCCCTGTTGTATGGCGTGACTCCCTTCCCGCTGTTTTTAAATTATATATTTTTAAATGTTTATTTATATTCTTTTGGTTTCTCGAAACAGGATTTCTCTGTAGCTTTGGAGCCTGTCCTTGAGCTAGCTCTTGTAGACCAGGCTGGCCTCAAACTCAGAGATCCACCTGCCTCTTTCTCCTGAGAGCTGGGATTAAAGGCGTGCGCCACCACCGCCCAGCCTTGTTTTTAAATTGTAACAATGAGTTCAAGGTTAGCCTGGGAAATAAGGTGAGACTCTGTCTCAAATATTTTTTGAGTTCCATGTGGTGGGTTTAGGCTTAAGTCTGTAATTTCAGAACAGACAGAGGCAGGAGGCTAGCCCATGACTATTCTAAGCTACATAGTTCCAGGCCAGTCAGCACCTAGAGTCAGAGGCAGGAGGATTATCTGCTAGTTCAAGGCCAGCCTGGTCTACAAGACAGGACAGGCTCCAAAGCAACACAAAAACCTTGTCTCAGAAGACCAAAAAAAAAAAAAAAAAAAAAAGCAAAGGAAAGGAAGAAAAAGAACCTTTGGTCTCTATACTCGGGAGGTAGATCTGAGTTTGAGGCCAGCCTGGTCTACAATGTGAATTCCAGGATAGACAGGGCTACAAAGATAAATCCTACCTTGAAAATATAAAAGGAAATAGAAAGAAAAGAAAGGAAAAAGATTTACAAAATTGAAGTGAATGAGCAATCCACAAATACACACAGAAAAATAAGCGCTGGATGGGTCACACCTTTAATCCCAGCACTCTAGAGTCAGGGGCAGGAGGATCTCTGTGAGTTCGAAGCCAATCTGGTCTACATAAATGAGCTTCAGGCCAGCCACAGCTACCTAGAGAGAACCTGTCTCAAAGTGCATAAACAAATGAATAGATGAAATTTTTAAGTTTAAAACATTAGTTTTAGTATACATGTTCTAAACATTTACCTGAAACTCAATTTTCATAATTTCCCTGTGTAACTCTGGCTGTCTTGGAACTCACTTTGTAGCCCAGGCTGGCCTGGAACTCCTGAGATCCACCTGAGTGCTGGGACTAACGTCATGCACCGCCACATCTGGTTCTGAGACTCAATTTTCATTGAAATATTAAGGAAAATAATGGTAATGGGGAAATATACACAGTTTACTATAAAATTGTCTTTTGCCAAGTAATTTATTGGAAAAGTCCACATTTTACAGTGTTATCAGGGGACAAAGGTCACTCCCGTTTTGCTGTTCAATATTGACAATATTGACAATACATTATCAACCAGTAACAATGCGCGTATAAAAGCCTGCGAAGGAACAGCATCTCAACACTCTGGGCAGAGAGGTATGGGTGGAGTCACAAGGTCGTGGTCAATCTGGGTTACATACGTAAGTGGGGTCTCTTTAGTTTCAAGCTAGCCTGGTCTACATAGAGAGTTCCAGGACAGGCAGAGATACATAGCGAGATCCTGTCTCAAACAAATATCAGTGGGGGGCCATAGTGAAATCCATTTGTCCTCAGACCTTCAGGAGATGAGACAATCCTAAATGCTTCCATGGAACAGGAAGCGTGGAACAAGGGTAAGCTAGCTACAGTCAGTCTCTCTAGGAAAAGACTTCAATCCCGACATAGAATTACAGGGGCACCGCTCTCGAATGGATTTTCACGTGTCGCATCAGCGTCCCCTTCTGTCGAAAAGCGGCGTTGCACTCTAGACACTTGTAGGGTCTTGAGTCGCTGTGGATGCCGACGTGGACGTTGAGGTTGCCCTTGTGGTTGAAGCGTTTTCCACAGCTCTCACACAGGTACGGCATCTCCTTCGTGTGGGTCCTGATGTGACCCAGCAGGGAGGACTCGTGGGTAAACGCCTTGCTGCAGATGCTACACCGGTGAGGCTTTTCGCCTGTGTGGATGCGCTGGTGAACCCGGAGGTCTGAGGACTGCAGAAACCCCTTTTCGCACGAGCGGCACCGAAAGGGTCTCTCCCCTGTGTGGGTCCTGTGGTGGATAATAAACTGAGACCTGTAAAGAAAACTCTTGTTGCATTGACTGCACCCAAACCGAGCCGGGCCAGCGAGATGAACCACCGACTCTTCAGGCCGTGGGGTAGCGACCGCTAACTGTCCATCTTCTGTATTGCCCACACAGGAGGCCTTTCCCTGCGGAGTGGGCAAGCTGTCTGCACTGGAGCTACTAAGCCTCTGAAGACCCGTATTCACAGCTGTATCCCTTTTTGCTAGAATACGGGTGGCCCATGTAGCAGCATCCACGTTTGTGTCTTCCTGAAGCATCCCTGAGGCAGCTTTTACCTGGAGAGAATCTAATGGGAGGGATTCCACATACAACATTTAAAACTTGAGAGCCCACCTCAAAAATGTATTGCATTTATTTGCTTGATTACAGAGGGAGGTGCCACCCTTAGAACACAGAGGGCAGAGGGTAACTTCTGGTGAGTTACCTGACAGAGGGTGAGTTCTCTGTCAGCATGAAGGCCCTGGGGATTGAACATAGGGCTTAGTGGTAGGTGCCTTTCCCCACGAAGACACACAACACTTACGAAAGACCACCCTGACCATACCAGACTAGACAGACCTGAATTCTGGTGTTGGCTGGGAACAGCCCATTAACATCCCAGGTCTGAGAGCTCAGCCTGTAACACTCTCTGGAAAACTGGTGACAAAGAAGGTGGGGAGGGGGTGGCCAATTTCCTCCCACGGGGATGGGGATGCTGGACAAGGGGTAGTAAGTCCCCAGTAAATTCCCACCCCATACTCACCAGGACCCTGTGTCGGCTGAGAGTCCTGAGGTAAAAACAGGACATCCCAGTCCTGTACCAAGTCACTGCCCTGGTTCAGCTCAGGTCTCAGGTAGTTTGTCTCTCTGCTCCCGGGAACCGTCTCCAGAAAATCTTCCTCTTCCTTGGCAGGAGACAATGAAGAACAATTATGGGGTGTATCGCTCAGTGGAGAGCTGGAGCACAGAAATCTGCCTCTACGGGGCTGGAGAGATGGCTCAGTGGGCTCTTCCAAAAGTCCCGGGTTCAATTCCCAGCACCTACATGGCAACTCACAACTGTCTGCAACTCCAGTTCCCGCAGAACCCGACACCCTCACACAGACAAACATGCAAGCAAAATACCAATGCACACAAAATAAATCTTTTTAAAAAAGAAAGAAAGAACAAAAGAAGGAAAAAGAAAACTGTTTCTACTTGATCTGGGCCACTAAATGTTTCCCAGAGTTGAGGGAATGTTCACACTTCTATGGTCTACCCCAGTACCCCACATAAACGAATATTCTTCTCTTAATATTTGTAAGTCTGTTAATAATGTCAAGCCACCACACCTCCAAACTCTTATTGGTTGCTATTTTCTCTTCCCTGCCTTTGACTCTACATGCAAAATGTCTCTCAACCCGGATATTATTAAGATGGGGGGCTAATGAAGCTAGATGAGGAATGGCTCAGAGGACCTGGGTTCGAGTCTCAGCACCCACAAGGAAGCTCTCAACCATCTGTAACTCCAGTTCTTGTGGGGGAAGGGTCTGGTGGCTTCTTTCTCCCACAGGCACCAAGCACACATGTGGTGTGCAGATATACATGCACGCAAAATAGCCACACATATAAATATAGGATAACCTTAAACCAATTGGCAATTGAAGGATGATTTCTGATGGGGGAGGGGTCTCCTCTGATGCACAGTGTGCATTTTGACAGTGGCTGGACACTGTTACAACTCTCAGCAACTGGGTGTGGCCTTGCACACCTTTGATCTCAGCCCTCAGAAGGCAGAGGCAGGTGAGTCTCTGAGTTCAAGACCAGCATAGTAAGCTCCAGGACAGCTGGGATTATGTCAAGAGACTGTTCATAAAATGGGAAAAAAATTCTAGACACTATGTAGGTTAACAGATCTAAAACGAGCTCAGAGGGTGTAGTAGACCTCACCGGCAATTTCAGCGGCTGGAGGATAAAGGCAGGTAGGTCACGAGCTCAAGACCAACCTGCCCTACGTGACTAGAAGGGCAGCCTGAGTTACAGGGCACCCTGCTTCAAACAAAACAAAACCTAGAGGGTCCCAAGCCGTCACCCCAGGGGCCAAACCACTCCTTGGGATTTTCAAGGGCCTGGGAATCAACATTAGATCATCAGACTGGACAGCAAGCGCCTTAACCACTGAACCATCTCTCCAGGGTTCCTGTACTCTTTAAGCCATGATTTATGTGTCTGTGTGAGTACATGCCATTTATGTGTTTGTGCCCAAGGAAACAAGATGGTGTTAGAGTCCCCTGGTTCAAGACAGTGCTGGGACTCAAACACTGGTCCTCGGAGGAGCAGCAAGTGCTCCTAACAGCTGAACCCTCTCTCTAGTCCCCTCTCCATGATCTTCATGACGTTTTAGTGGGAGACAGATGGACTAGCACGTCTGCTTTCTCCCGTGTCCACACATGTGGGTCTGTACCCAACCCTCACCAAATCTCCCATCTCTCCCCAGGGATGGTGCCATGCGCTCACCTGGCTGATGCATGACTCAGTCCCGGACAGGTTCTGTGACCCTGGACTAGCCTCGTCACCGCTGAGACTATCATCCGACAACACCACCACGTTGTCACCCCAGTCATCCGCCTTGACTTTGGCCATTTCCAAACCGGAACCACATTGGAAGGACGTCTGTCCTTGGGAGATTACAGACTGTGGGGGATGGGAACAGGTGAGAGACCCCAGGTAAGATTCTAGAGGTGGCTCTCACAACTCCATTTCTGTCTTGACTTAGCATTCCAACTGGAATTACCAGCAAATTTATCTTCCTTAATACCGCATATCCTCGGTGCGTACAAGCAGTTCTACCTGAATCCTTGTCAGTCTGCACGCTAGCCCATGCCTCACATGGTGTTATGTGGATGAGCTGGTCCCCAAGCAGAGAGAGACAATGAGAGATACAGAGACAGACAGAGACAGGAGAGAGAGAGGGGGACTCTTTTTCTACATCTAAACTACCTGGCCTGCAGTTCTATAACTCAGGAAGCTGCAGTGAGAAGATGATGCCAAGGTTCAGGACAGCCTGGGCTACAGTGTGAAACCCCGCCCCCAAACAAACAAAAAAATATGCTTCCCCTATCCCTACCCACACCTTCTGACTGGCTTCAGGTACAGGGCACACACTGTGTTTGCAGTTTGATGTTGATGCTGGCTTCACAAATTTTCTATTGTCAGGCAGGGTGTCACTCTGTTGGCCTAGACGGCCTTGAACTCAGAGATACTGCCTCCTCGGAGCCAAGATTAAAAGCTTGCCCACCCCACCGATCCTTTCTCTACACTTTCCTTGTGTGTGTGTGTGTGTGTGTGTTTTAATTCGAGACAGGGTTTCTCTGTGTAGCCCTGTTCTGGAAGTAGCTCTTGTAGACCAGGTTGGCCTCGAACTCAGAGATCCACCTGCCTCCGCCTCCGAGTGTTGGGATTAAAGGTGTGCGCCACCACCGCCAGGCCTATCTATTTTATATTCCCACCAGTTTCTTCTTTCCCTTTTCTCCCACCTCCTCCCCCACCTCTTTCCCACTCCCCTTGTCTCTATTCATAAAAGGGCAGACCTCCCATGGATAGCGACAAAACACGGCATATCAAGTTGTAGGAAGACTAAGCACCTCCCCTGTATTAAGGATAGGCAAGGCAACCCAGTATGAGGTGTAGGGTCCCAAAAGCCAGTAAGAGTCAGAGACAGACTCTGTCCCCACTGTTAGGAGTCCCATAAGAAACCAAACTACAGAACTATCACACATACACAAAGGGCCTAGGTCAGTCCCATGCAGCCTACAGCCAACACGAGGCTTCGATGCAATGTTGCCTAGCGATATTCTGCTATACTCATAGGTCGACACCTATCCCCATTGTCAGGGAGGCTCTCTCCACACTCTCAATGCTAAGCTTTAATGCAGGCGGGCAGGCAGGTCTCCATTCTGCATAACAATGTCTAAGCATGGGATGCGCAACTACAGCTGGTGTGTCCCACCCTAGCCTTTAACAGATCTTCCACAAACTCTGGCCTTCTAGTGCCTTCTCCCAAACCGCCCCAGAGATTGTGTCACACATTTGCCTGACTGGTGGACGGCTCTTCAGTCTCCGGCAGATTCTGCAATTCTGGGCCTCTGTCGGGGGGCTCCTGGCTCTCTGATAGGTGCTCCGGGGACCATCTCACATCACTCCATCCATTCTTCACGGCTGCAGCATTTTTAGCATAGGGATGCCGAAGGAGGTACACCTGTCCTTGGGAGTGGATTATAGACTGGGGAGGAGGGATGGGAGGAAGGGAACAGGATGAGACCCTGGGTCAGAGCCTGGCTATCCCTCTCACAGGACCATTCCTGGGCTGACTTAGCAATCCAACTTGATTTATTTGCAATTCTGTCTTCCTGGACATGGATTGACCCTCAGGGTCATACTCAGCTACACAGTGAATTGCGGATCAGTTTGGGCAAGTCCACCAAAGTCCCCAAACATTGCCACTTAACTCTTAGGAAGCAAAACTCTCCTCTTAAGGGCCACTGACGAAGGGCAAGAGCCTCAGTGGGCTCTGCATTCAGGTCATAGCAGCCCCCACGGCTGTCCTTCCCCTGAGCCTGAACTTGTGCTTACCCAGTGGCGCGGTTTCCCGCCGCTCCTCAGTAGTTTCTCCAGTTCTTTGCAGCTCTTCACTCGGCTCTCCCTCACTAAGGCCTGCAGCTCTGGCCGCACAGAGATCATAAACTGCTCCAGCACCAGCCGGTCCAGGATCTCCTCCTTGCTGTTCAGGTCCGGCCTCAACCACAGCGAGCATAGCTGGGAGATCTGCTTCAGATCCTGGATGGGGTCAGACCTCTCTGAGGGACTAAAACTTCTGAATTTTCGGTGCCAAACCTCGGGGTTGTAGTCTTGTTTTTCGGCGCTTGTTTCCTGGGATACTAATGATGATGTCTGTTCTGATTGGAGGCTGTCTGGCGGGATGCTTGCAGCCATGTCTTTGATTCCTGTCTAAACCTACTCCTTCAGTCACGGCGAATAAGCTCAGTGTTGGTCCGGAAGCCTGGTAGGGAAGAAGGAACCAGATCAGTCTGACTCTGCTGCCTCCTAAATCCCCAAACACACTGGGCCTGTTCAGTAAAGTAGACATTAATCCATTTTACAGACCTGCGAGATGGCTCAGGGGGTAGGGGGTAAAGGTGTCTCCAGCCAAGCCCAATGACCTGAGCTAAATCCCCTGGACCTATATAGTGGAAGGGGAGTACCAACTCTGACCAACTGTCTTCTGGCCTCCACCCCATCCCAAGACTTTTTTTTGTGTATTGGTGTTTCGTCTCCATGTATATCTATCTGTGCAAGGGTGTCGGGTACCCTGGAACTGGAATTACAGACAGTTGTGAGCTGCCACATGGATGCTGGGAATTGAGCCCAGGTCCTCTGGAAGACCTCTGGAAGCCAGTGCTCTTAAAGCTACAGAGAAACCCTGTCTTGAAAAAACAAAAGCAAACAAGACCAAGACAGGGTTTCTCTGAGGTTTGGAACCTGTCCTGGAACTAATCTGTAGACCAGGCTGGCCTCGAACTCAAAGAGATCAGCCTGCCTCTGCCTCCCGAGTGCTGGGATTAAAGCCGTGCGCCACCACCATCCGGCTGAGATTCACTCTTAAAATCAAAGAGCAAATGGGGCAGTGGTGGCATACACCTTTAATCCCAGTTTGAGGCCAGCCTGGTCTGCAGAGCGAGTCCTAGGACAGCCAGGGCCACAGAGAAACCCGGCCTCAAACAGCACACAACAAAACAAACAAAGGACAAAAACATCTGAGTGGTAGCTGCATAGCCTGGAAACTGAGACCGGCATGTTCTGTGTAGACCAGGCTGGCCTGGAATTCAGGGATCCGCATACCTGACTGTCCAGAGCTGGGATTAAAGTCATGTCACTACGCTTGACCAAAAGAAAAAGAAAATAACTTCTGTGTATGGATGTTTTATATGCGTGTTTGTCTGTGTACCACATTTTTGTCTAGTGCACAGGACCTTGGAGACCCTGGGAGTTGCAGGCAGCTGTGAGCCTCAACGTGAGTGCTAGAAACTAAATCCGCATTCTCTAGAAGAGAAAGGAGTGCTCTTAACTGCCAAGCTATCTCTACAGCACAAAAACGGCTTTTTGGGTTGTTTGGGTTTGTTTTTGTTTTCTGTTTGTTTGTTTTTTGATTGTTTTGAGACAGGTTGTCTCTCTGTAGCAGCTCTGGCTGTCCTGGAACTCGCTCTGTAGACCAGGCGGCCTCAAACTCAGAGATCTGCCCGCCTCTGCCTCCCGAGTGCTGGGATTAAAGGCATGCACCACCAATGCCTATTTTGGTTTTTTTTTTTTTCTCAAGACAGGGTTTCTCTGTGTAACAGTCTTGGCTGTCCTTCCAGACCAGGTTGTCCTTGAATGCACAGCGAATTGCCTGCCTTTGCCTCCCTGACTCCTGGGATTAAAGGCGTATGCCACCACCACCAGGTCCATAAAATGTTTCTTGAGACAGGGTCTCTCTGTGGAGCTCTGGCTGGCCTCAGACTCAGAGAGCTGCCTATCTCTGTGTGCCTAATGCCTGCCTTAATTCTTTATTTTAATAATTAAAATGATAAAATAAAGACACAGTTAATTGCAAGATGGGCATTATGGTGTATGTCTGTAATCCCGGCACTCTGGAGGCAGGGGTTAACATCTGTGACTTCTGGGCCAGCCTGGGCTACATAGGTCCCTGTCCAAGACAAAAGGAGATTACAAGGTTGGAGATGCTGCTCAGTTGGAGTTGCATTTTGGGTCACATCCCCAATACCTGCAAAAATACAAACTTCACCACTGATTCCTCCCAAAATGGCGCTAAAAATCTACTATTTTTTAAATGTTTCTGGAATTGCAACTTTAACAGAGAACTATTTTCATCATTGACTAAAACTTGTTTCATAATGGTTTGGGGTGCTTCTTTTTTTTGTTTTGCTTTTGTTTTTCAAGACAGTTTTTGTTTCTCTGTAGCTTTGGAACCTGTCCTGGAACTAGCTCTTGTAGACCAGGCTGCCCTCGAACTCACAGAGATCCGCCTGCCTCTGCCTCCCGAGTTCTGGGATTAAAGGCGTGCGCCACCACTGCCTGGCTTTTTCTTTTTCATTTTGACACAGAGTAGGGCTGTGCAGCCCAGGCTGCCTTGAAAATTTGATTCTGCGAGTTGCCGCCTGAGAGCTGGTATTTCAGGTAAGCGTCCCCATAGCCCTCCCACAACGAATTATTGTGTTCTTTATCCCCATGACTTAGTATAATTGTGTTAATTAAGAATAACTGCCAGGCCGTGGTGGTGTATGCCTTAATTCCAGCATTCTTGAGGCAGTGTCAGGCAGATCTGTGAGTTCAAGGTTAGCCTGGTCCACAAAGCGAGTTCCAGGAATAGTCAGGGCTACACAAAGAAACCCTGTCTTGAAAAACAAAAAATCAAACAAACAAAAACCGAACAAACAAATAAAAAGGAATACTGCACCTGATTCCAGCTCCGAAAGCTGGGGTAGGAGAAACTAGACTAATCCAAAACTAGACCCCAAATTTAGATCTCAAAAGAAAAAAATAAATAAATAAAAATAATTTAAAAAAACAAATTTAATTATGCAATCGCGTGACCTAGCAACAAGTGTATCGAGGGATATAAATGGGACCGAAGTGGAACCCGCCCTTGGAGTCCGCAACAGAATCCTGGTGATTTACCAGAAAGAAAGTTCATCCAAGGACACAGTAGTTCTTAGGTAGGTTCCTGGGGGTTGCTCTTTGTTTGTTAAGAAAGCCTTACCCTGCTGCCCCATCTACCCGGGAGCTCGACACGCATCCTCTTGCCTCAGCCCCGAGTGCAGAGTTAAAGGTGCTTCGTGCCCAGCTAAACCATGAAAGAGCCTCCATTGCATATGCATCCAAACACACAGCCTCGCTCACCCACCTTTCTCCCTGGTTCACTTACCCTCGGTCTTGGCTTCGCACACGCAGCCTCGATTTTTGCAAGCTCTCTCTGCAAAACGCTCCGAAGCGCTAGCGTTGTCGCTTATATAAAGTACCACGGGACTGTCTTCCGGTTGTGAATCTGCCCAGTGATTACCTCGAGCCCCTAGACGCCATTTATGGCGTCATTTTCACGAGATTAAAAGAAGATTTAACCTGGGACTGCCACAGGGAGGGGATTAATTTGTTAAACTACCAGGGCGTGGTTCTAACGCCTTGTAGTTGGGGAGGATGAGACAGAAGGGTCATAAAGTCAAGACCTGACTTTATGCCTGGCCTCCTGAGTGAGTGTAAGGCCAGCTGAGGACATTCAGTGAGATGTCCTCTCAAACTTAAAAAAACGAATGAATAATCAAATCATTTTATCAGCCTCGGCTGGCAATGCAGTTCAGACGTCAGAGTGTTTGCCTTAGCATGGAGGAGACCGTGGATCTGTACCTAGTATTGTATAAAACCCGGGTGTGGTGACACACACCTGTAATCCCAAACAGGAGACTTAGAAGTTTAAGGTACTTTCACTATAGCCTGAACAACGACAAGAGACTCTTTCTTTCTTCCTTTCTTTCTTTCTTTCTTCCTTCCTTCCTTCCTTTCTTTCCTTCCTTCCTTCCTTCCTTCCTTCCTTCCTTCCTTCCTTCCTTCTTTCCTTCCTTTCTCCCTCCCTCCCTCCCTCCTTCCCTTCCTTTCTATTTTGGAGACAGGGTTTCTCTATCTCTTTGGAGCCTATCTGGGAATGTGCTCTCTATACCAGGCTGACCTCAAACTCACAGAGATACGCCTGCTTTTGCTCCTGAGTGTTGTGATTAAAAGCATGTGCCACTACCGCCCTGTCGAAATAGATATCTCTTTTAAAAATATCATTATATTACCAGGCGGTGGCAGCACACACCTTTAATCCCAGCACTCGGGAGGCAAAGCAGGTAGATCTCTGTGAGTTCGAGGCCAGCCTGGTCTACAAAGCGAGTTCCAAGACAGGACTGTTACATAGATAAATCCTGTCTTAAACACCCCCACCACCACCAGTTTTTTTTTATTACATTTTATTTCTTTATTTTGTGAGTACAACTGGGGTAAGGACGGGCACGCCAAACGCCCTTGTGGTCAGAAGACAACTACCAGGAGCCGGTTCTCTCCTTCCACCATATGGGTCCTGGGGATTCAACTCAGGTCATGGATTGCAGTAAGCTACCTTAATACTCTGAGCCAGTTCAAAGGCCCAGAAATAAATCTCTTTTTAAAAGGTTTATCTTTATTTCATGTGTATGAGGTTTTGTTTTGATTTGGTTTTGGATTTTTTCTTGTTTTGCGTTTTTTTGTTTGTTTGTTTGTTTTGTTTTGTTTTGTTTTTCCCAAATATCTGTAAGTAGAACTGAAGTTGCAGTTGGTTCTGAGATATCATGCATGTGCTGGGCAAACCCGGGTCCTCTGGAAGAGCAGTCAGCGCTCTTAACCTCTGGACCATTTCTTCAGTCCCAGAAATAAATATTTCTGAGGATGAATTTAAAAAAATAACATAATAGAGATCTGTTCTTTCTAGGATTTTTTAAGGGCACCTTAACAGAGCACTTGTGTACCTTACAGGTTTGGGAAACATTTGTTATATCTCATTTTGGGAAGGTATCTTATTGTCTAAGTCATTGACTCAATATTAAATAACAATGAAGTGTAGGCATAGTTATAGTTTTGGAAGCTGTATGGTGCTAGTCAAGGGATACCAAATAGTCTATGAGTCTTGACACATTTTTTTTAAATTTTAGCATAAAGTTACTTGCTTAACATTTAAGGGCAATTTGAGTGGTGCAGATTTTAAAATGACACTGGCTTAAATATGTTAGAAGGGGTTGTGTAGTGGCATTTCATTTTTTTTCCGAGACAGGGTTTTTCTGTGGCTTTGGAGCCTGTCCTGGAACTAGATCTTGTAGACCAGGCTGGCCTCGAACTCACAGAGATCCGCCTGCTTCTGCCTCCCGAGT